TTGAAAATTTTATTTTATAAATTCAGATAAATAAATAAAATCCTAATTATCTTAAAATCTTATAAAAAAATAAATGTTTGAATTTAAAATCTGTCATACAGATCTTAAATTTTTTTGTCATCTTTTAAGTACTTTTATATATATATATATATATATAAGGATTTTTATATATCTATATATATATATCTGCTGACATGGAATTATGTATTTTTTATATATATATATTTTTTTATTTGAATAAATCATATTTCTCTAAAATTTTATTTTATAAATTTTTTATTTGAATAAATCTTATTTCTCTAAAATTTTATTTTATAAATTTAAATGAACAACTAAAATTTTAATTATTTCAAAATCTTATAAAAGATACATATGTCCTGATTTCAAAGATTTGTTATGACGTTACGTCCTTTAAGGACTTATACATACATACATACATACATACATACATATACATACATAGATACATATATATATATATATACATACATATAACTGCTGGCATGGAATTTATGCAGAGCTTCCACGTGTGCCATGCTGTAGATATTTGTGGTCGGCGGAATGGATGGAGAGGCCTGCAGGGGTATCGGATTAGATAAGAGAGATGACGTTGCGCTGTGCCTGCCTGTCTTTAGCTTCCTTTCATTATTAATTTCTTTATGGAATTTTTGAGATTCTGAGCATCCCAGAGGTTCAGCGGAACAGCCATTATGGCAGTCGTTGGGGTAGACAAATGGGAAACCGAGTAGCGATCCTTCACTATGTTCACGACAGCTCATCGAGAGATCGGGTCCGTATAATACGTGAATGTAGAACGATCAAGGGAGTCCATGGGAATAACGTGCGCGTCATATTTTAAAAAAATTTCAATTTTTTTTTGGTTTTATTTAAAATAAATTCTTTAATTTTTTTTTTAATATATTAATATAAAAATTAATTTTTTTTATTTTAATATATTTTTTAATTAAAAGTCTTTTGAACCCTCATCGCTACAATTCTAAGCAGCCTTTAATATAATAATTTCTAGCTCATTTGTTTATTATTTTATGATAAACAAATAAAAGGATAGATATCCAAGAATAAAAAAAATAATATTTTTTTTTATATTTTTCATTTAAAAAATATAAAAATTAGTTTAAAATAATTACAAAAATAAATTTAATTTATATAGTTATTTTTTTCTTTTTAATCTAACTTGTTTATATTTTTACTATCTTTGTTGATTCTATTTAATATAGCAACTAACCATAATATATTTAGTTTTAATTTTAAAATGTTCTTAAAATGTGTTTCTGAAAAAAAACTATATCAATCTAATAATTTAAGTTATTAAATAGTATTATAAGATATAATATATATTATTATCGAACCATTTTAACCTGAACATATCATATTAATTACTTTTTAAAAAAACAAAATAAAATTATAAAAAATCATTTAAAAATAACTCTTTTTTTTTTTTTACTTTACATGCCCTTTTTGCAAAATCTTTACTTGCAATAAACAATTTCTAACACAAACTCTATATGGATTTTATTCTCAAGTACATAAAGATTCCCACAGCTTGCTTATCAAATGTCAACAGGTAATTATAAACGCATGGATCTCAGTAACTTATCAGGAAAACAAAGGAGGGGGAGAAAAGTCGAAGAACGATTCACATTCTGATAAGCACACAAGAGAGGAAGACAGCCGCTCTTTCCACAGAATGCAGAAGCAATAAATACATCGACAAGAACAGCAGCCGGAATAGAGTACGTTCTCCTTTAATTTTCGCCGATTATGTCAGAACCCTGGATAATTTAAAACGTTTCACATGGCAGTGGGGATTCATGGTGCCTCTGGTCCACACAGGTCAGAACCCCACCATGTGCAGGCGTCAGATCATACAGCTCACCTACTTGGATCTGCCCACAGGTCTTAAGAGCAGGCAGGCAGATGCTGAGCCGCGGTCTACCAGTCATGCTCGATCATCTCTCTCTCTCTAAGCTCTGGAGGACCCCTTTCAAATTTAATGGCTAATAGTTTTTTTCCTGGTCCTTTTAGAGAATGCTTGCTGCTGATAGTTATTTTGCTGGTCCATTTAGAGTATTTTTGTTTATTAGATGACTGCTCGGAGCTCTTGTGAACAAATATACATTTTAAAATTATTATGGATATGAAAGTCATTGTTTTTTATTTTTTTTATTTATAAATATATTTAAATAGTATATTTTTACTGTTTAAATATATTTTTGATATAAACATTTATAAAAAAAATAAATACTTTTTAATTTTTTAAAAAATATTCAAACGTCTTTTCAAACAGCTTTTTAGTATTGTTTTGCTTATAATTTTAAAAATATTTGATTAATTAACACATTATAATTTTATGTAAATATCATAGAAAACTCTATTAAAATCTTGATTATGAAAAAATTATAAATTATTTTTTTTAATTTAGTTTTTGAAACTGCCCTGTGTGGTCGGTGCAATGCATGGCACATGGGAATAATTGGATATGAAACTAGAATTTCTTTGCTTGCATGTTTAAAAACTTCAAATTATTATAGTATAATCATTACAAAAATATTATGATTTTGTGAGTATATCATTTGTATCTTATTTGAAGAAAAAAAAACCCTCTAATCATCATGTCCATTTATAATTAAACACAATATCATATTGTATGAAATAAATAAATAAATAATATAAAATAATTCCGAAGTTAAAGATCATGAATCATTCATTCATCATAAAAGTTCAAGCACTCATGAACAGAATCCGAACTCAATTATAAGATTTGATAGGGTGATTAATTAAGAAGACATGCTATATTATGGACTCTAATCTTATTAAAATTAAAATTAAAATTCTACACAGACAAAGCCTTCTCAGGCTATAGTGATTGTGCGAAGGGAGTAGTGAAAGAAAAAACAAAGAAATGAGAAAAACGTGGCTTCAGCATGTGACATGTTCCATCGATGTATATAAGTAATTCCATGCACATGTTTGGACCTCGGAGACTTAGAGGCCTCCCCGGGGCCTACATTGAGCTGTAATTAAGGGGTTTTTTAAAAAAAAAATTAAGATGAAAAGCACCCTCTAAATTTTTTTGTAAAAGCACCCTCGAAAAATAAATTATTTTAAGGTTTAAACTCTTTTTATTAATGGTAAGTCATTATTGAAAAATACTTTATAATTAATTAAAATTAGCAAATAGTTTCTCTTCAATTTGGTGCGTAGTGGTTGTCGTTCTTTGATTTTCTTCATGTATCATGAACTAATCTCTTCATTTATATGGATATTAATCTTATTCTTTTTTCCTCTATTTTTTTAGAGGAGGACTAGTGCATGTTTTGTTATGGTTTTTAAAAATATATATATATCTAGTTAAAACCACCATAAGAATTATTTTGCATGTAAAATAAAAAATAAAATTCTCTATAAAAAAAATTATTTTTATAAAATTAAAATTTAAAATGCAATTACGTGTGTATAAGATATAGCATAAAAACTAGCGAAGTATTAAACGATAATAATTAAACAATTAATTTAGGCATTTAGAGTAGGTAATTAATAGCTTTCAGAAGACTATAACCTCCGCAGAAGAAAAATAATATTGACCACAAACTAGCATGGCGCCAGGCCAAGCAAAGTAGACAGCAACACTTTCGAGTTGGCGTGCGTGTGCGTGTGCGTGTGTGAGAAGTGGTAAACTCTTCTCCTCAAATGTACATGTGATGACTCGGATCCATTTCAGCATCTTTAAGAAAATAAATTGAATAAATGATTTTATAGATAAGTAAATTGACGGAATTTAACTGGTTTTTTTAAATTTTTTTATCCAAAATAATATTATTGTGAAAAAAAAAATTAAAATAATATTATTTTAAAATAATTAACATAATTTCAAGCCCAAAAAATGAATTAAGAAACTTAGAGAGCTTGGTGTATTTTTTATGTACAAAATAATATAAATCTGTTTAAATCTTAAATCTTAAATAATAATATAAAATAATTTTTTAATATAATTTTTTATATTTTAATAAATAATTTTAATTTTAATTTTAAATTCAGATAAGTAACCAAATAAGAGTTAAATTACGAATTAAAAGAATTTTTATATAAAAAAATTAATAGGCTAATACGTGCATAGCGAGATGTGGAAAGGATTAAGTTTTAGGATGACAAGTCACCATCTAAATCATTTTTTTTAATTAAGGTCATGTTTGTTTTCTAGAAAATAATTTTTAGAAAACCATTCTCCAAATTTTTCAGTGTTTATTTGCCGTTAGAAAAGTTGGTTAACGGAAAACATTTTCCAGTCAACAAAAAACACTTTCCAGTCAACGGAAAACACTTTATGGTCAATGGAAAATATTTTTCAGTCAACGAAAAATATTTTTCAGTCAAAGGAAAATTTGGCTTAGTTTTTAGGAAAGTGTTTTCTTTTTTAGCTGTGTTTATTTTTCAAAAAGTGATTTTCGAGAAAACACTTTCCAAACTTTTTTGTGTTTGTTTTATAGAAAATGATTTTTGAAAAATCACTTTTCAAACTTTCTTGTGTTTATTTGCTATTAGGAAAGTTGATAAATGAAAAACACTTTCCAATCAAAGAAAAATTTGGCTTGGTTTTCAGGAAAGTGTTTTCCTGAAAAATTTGGAGGAAAATACTTTCCGGAAAGTTGTGAAAAATTTAGAAATATCATTATTTGCTGATTATATCAAATTTGATCCTCAAACTTTTGATTGCTATATATATTTTGTTTTAAATATTTATTTTTTAATTTTATTTCTTAAATTTTAATTTTTATGTTAACTCTAGTACTCATTTTTATAATTGTTATTTGCTTATTTACTTTTATTTAAAAATAATTTTTCTATAAACAAACAAAGCTAAAAAAATCTATAGCCATGGCATCATCCTAAGAGCCCCGGTGTGTTTTTTAAACCAATGAAGTCGACTTTAGCCTTTTGTCTCTTTATAAATACCTTCGAACGGTGGTCACGCTCGACATCCCATTCTTCTTCCAGTAACATTACACGTTATTAATTACTCCTTCAACTAGAAGTTAAACAAGACCTTAGAGAGAGAGAGAGAGAGAGAGATCATGGGGAGTATAGGAGAGATTCAGGAAGAAATAGAGAGGTGGGTTTCTCCTTCACTTTCACCTTCACCGGGAAGAACATCCATGCCTCTGTCTCTGAACCACATCTCATTTGTTTGCAAGTCTGTTCCTGAATCTGTCAAGTTCTATGAAGATGTTCTGGGTTTTGTTCTCATCAAAAGACCTTCTTCCTTCAAGTTTGAAGGAGCTTGGTATGTGTATATATATATATGTACATGTGCATATACCTCCACATATATATGCATCATCCCCTCTCTCGCCTCTCCTCTTAATTTGTTCTCTGATTTTTAAGGGAAAAAAATGTTTTCTTAAGAGAATATACATCATGAATGATATGATCGGACCGGTTTAATTACGTTTCCGTCAATCCTGAGTTTTTTGTTTTTCCGAATGATGTTGAGGTTACATTCTATATAAAGATTTGGTGTATTCGGATAAATTTAATGCTGATTTTCCATATATATATTCTTACAAAATTGAAATCTAAAAGAAAAGAAAAAAAATCTTACTTGTTTTAGCATCTTATTACGCTTACAATATCCTTGAGATGGTTGACTCTCGTGATATCATCAACTTATAGTAGGTTTTTAAGTATATTGTTTAATTACTCTTTTTTGTAAGAGAACAAAGAAAAACTAATACTATATTTTCTAAGATATAATTAAAGGTCTGCCTGCTATCATTTACGAAAAACAAGTTTAGTCATTCAATTTTCTAAATCAATTTCAAAAAAAAAAGAAAAAAGAGTGAATGGCTGAAATTGCCTGTTGAAATGATATCCCCACGTTGAACTCTCAATGCAATGGAGCCCATTTGTACGTAGCATTATCATTAATGCATGTGCAGGTGTGCAGTTGATCCATCATTCATGCCCCCCCACTCCCATCACCTCTCATGTCCTTGCATTTGCTTTTTTTCTAAAAACGAAAAAGAAAAACAGAGATAATGGGATCAAAAAAATATGTTTCTAGGTTTTGAAAATACAAAAATTAAATAAAAAACTAATTGAGTAGGTACTGTTCAGGCTGTTCAACTATGGTATCGGCATCCATTTGCTTGAATCAGACAAGGCACCGACGAAGAAAAGTAAGATCAATCCAAAAGACAACCACATTTCATTCCAATGTTCAGACATGAATCTTGTCATAAAGGAGCTGGAGAAGAAGAACATCGAGTATGTGACTGCGGTTGTCGAAGAAGGTGGCATCACAGTCGATCAGCTCTTCTTCCATGACCCTGATGGCTACATGGTCGAGATCTGCAACTGTCAAAATCTCCCAGTTCTTCCACTTCCTTCATGCCCTCTGATCAAGTCACCTAAACCAAGTGCGAGCCTCGCATCGTCACCGTCTCTGTATGGTAGGGTTCTTTCTTTCCTGCTGCTTAGACCTGTTGATTCCTCACATGTCTGTATTATCCCAAGCTGGATCCTAACATTTACAGGAAAATCAAATTGCAGGGAAGCAAAGTTGGGAGCTGCGATGCTTTGCAGAAGTTGCCTCTGTGATGATGGACAACTTGGTGGTGGACATGATGGACATTTCAATATGAAGAATCAATCCATGGGAGCGCCTAGTTTTGTGCAGCTTGCAGGATTGTTTTATATTGAGTTTTGTAAAGAGATGTTGAGAGCAGCTCTGTAATGTATGAAAAACCAGTAGGATCGAGGGAGATTTTCAATTTCTACTATATAATTAATTATTATACACTGCTCGGTTTGATCTGCTGTCCATGTTCAAGGAATTAAAATTAAAAATCCACTATCCATGTGCTTTCCGTGCCTGTGTGTCTCCATGTTTTTTTTTTTTTCCTGTCTATATATATATAAAAGCAGCACACATAATTCAAAGATAACCCAGTTTAGAGATTCCATTCCAAGAAATCTCATTCAACGTTAACATGCCAGAAAATTAATAAATAGAAATAGATATACGACAAAAATATTTTATTAATAAACTGTAGTGAATTTTATTGAGAATTATAGGGAAAAAAATTAAAAAAACAAAAAAATAATAGCATATTATTTATATCAATAAATTTACTAATAATTTATTTATCAATAAAATTATTGGTAAAATATTAATATTGTTTATCATGTTAATTACAAAGAAAATTACCAACAAAAAATTTCAATATATTTTATAGAGAGATTTAAAATTGTTCACTTTTTAATTACACTGTTAATTAATATTTTTTACAAAAAATATCAATGATAAATTAAAAAGTCGTTAATGTTATTTGACAAATTTATAAAAAATATTAATTTAATTAAAATTAAAATTAAATATTATAGAAGGATTGAGAAGTCGTTAATGATATTTAATGGTTTCTAAAAAAATTAAATTAAATATTACAGATAAAATCACTAATAAAATAATTAAAAATATTAATATTTAATTATTTGTCGATAAATATCCCAATAAAAAGTTTAAAATTCTTAATTTTATAATAAACGGACCTCTTTTCTTCTTCTTCACCACATGTTAAAAAAAAACAATATCCTTTTATTTTTCTTCTTTTTTCTCTCTCCCCGACTTATTCTTATGTTTCTTTTTCTTAGTTTTTTTAATTAATATATTTTATAAACTTGTTTTTTTCTTTTCTTAGCTTCACTTGCAACTACATTTAGGTAAAATTTTTATTTTTTCTTCTTTTTTATTTTTTTGCTACATTTATTTTTTATTTTTAAATTTTTTTTATTCTTAATAATTGTATGAATGTTGTTGTAGGCTTTTTTTT